AATTTTTCTCGATCGATTAGTATTTCTTTCTAGAGCCGTTAGATTTTTAGGTGTAAATGTAAGGCCAAATTGGCTAGACTACTTGTCTTAGTTTGAATGTCAGTTTTTTTTATTGTATTCACTGTTATCTTTAGTTGTATGTATGTATGTATGTGTGCGTGTGTGCTTGTGTGATTGTTTGATTTTCTTTTTAACTGCTTTCAACGCTTACCGGGCTATGCCACTCCTTTTACAATATATGTACATACATAAATATGCATGTATTTAGTCAATAACCATGTTTGTAAGGCTAATTATGAATTATACGCAATAACAACAATTACAATTAGCATTATTTACTTTAACATTATACACACTGTATTTTATGCTTAACACTTACGTACGAAATAATTCACTTAAAGTTTTTTTCTCTTTGGTTTTTTTTTATTTTTTTGATGTTGTCAAAGAAATTCCACTCAATTTTGAGCAACTTCCTTTAGCGCATGGCTTTCTTTGGCTCTCCAATCTTGTTGTACTTCCTTATTTTTGCCGTTTTCTGTTTTTGTCTGCCTTTGCATACTTTTTTATTCAACTACAGCAATAAATTAAGTTAAAAAACTTGCAATTCAGAATTTTATATTTTTCTTGTTTTTGTTGCTATTTCATTTAGTTTTTTATTTTTTCTTTTTATACTCAACTTGGCCTTTACGCATTTTTTGCTAGCTTTTTTTTGTTCTTATAATATAGTAAAGTATGTCGATCCATATTAACGGTAAATTTCTTTTTCCTTTCACCTAATTTGCTCTGCTTTTATTTTCTTTCTTTTGTTCAATTTGGCATTTGAATGGCTTAATTATGTGACGAGCATTTTTATTAATTGTAACTAATTTTCCTATTTTCAAACTCTATTTCTATTTTTTGCTACTGCATAGTTGGCTTTAAGCGATTTTCTTCTACAATATTTTGCGCCTCTTCGCTTATGATTTTATTTTTTTTTTTTACTTTTCTCTAGTGAGTGGTTTTTGAACGGTGGTTTCATTTATGTTTTAGATACACAATAAATATTTTGTTTTTCTCTTTTGTCCGCTTATTCACTTACTAGTAAAATAAATACTATGTATGTTGGTATGTATGTATGTAGGTTTGCACTGCGTGTGAAAGATGTTGCTGGTTGTTTCTTATTTTTTTTCAAGTTTAAGTACATAGATTTGTTATAGTTTTCTTTTTGCATTTTTTATAAAATACTCGAACGTGCGAGCTTATTGAGAGAGGGAATTGTCTGTCCAACAACCAATAGTTTACTTGTTTTTAGCTCTTTTCTTGATTGGGAATCCGTTAATTAGTGAGTTTGTGAGAATGTGTATATTGGGGTGGACCTTGAAATACCAACAACCGTATTTTGGTATGAGGCATCTTTTTATTTGTCCCACGTTTATAAAAAAATAAATCTACGAAAATTTCAAACTGGTAGCAATCTCTACCAGAGGCTGAAAAATTTCAAATTTTTTTTAATTTTAAAAATTCTACTAAGTTTTGACCAAAATTTGACCAATTTTTGAAATTTAAAAAAAATAGTTTTATTAAATTTTTTTCAAAGTCAATGGTTGGTTGAATTTTTGCGATTTTAAAGAGAAATTAAATCTTTTCAAACAAAAAAATCTTAAAAATTTGTTTAAAATTTTGAAATTCTCGTGAAGGTATTTATTTTTACGCAGAACAAAACAAAAAAAAAGTGTCTTATGATGTTGCTTTTTTAAGAACCACCCTAGTGTGTATATGTGTGTGTGCGGTTGTTTAAGTGTATGTAAATAGCGAACCAATTTTTGTTAATTGTGAATGCATTGCTCTGATATTAAATTTTGAACAAATGTAAGATAAAACTAATAAAATAATAATTTAAGAAAAATAGCTGCGCGAAATGTAAACAATCTTATCTCAGGGAACTCCTTTAACTCTTTTATTTGAAAATCATCTTATTTCTCATGTCTGTACACGCCTATTTGCTATTACTTGCGTAGACACTTTTTTATAAAAAAAAAAATAAATATTTTAATTTTTCCTCGTTTGGTAGTCAAAGCAAAATTTTTGTGAAAATACACGCCATGTATACCTATATTTAACTCAGAAACTGAAATTGTGTTTATATTTTTGCTAAAGCGAATTCCTTAGCGAAGCGAAAATATCTGCTGCCTCTCATTTTTATTTGGGTAGTAATGGGTGACGCAATATTTTCGATTGCCATTTGAAATCTTGAAAATGTATTTAATTTGAACACTCAGCGACCATAAAATTATTTCGACTTATTCGCTTCGAACTACTCTTTGCCGCACCTTTTGCTTTTCTTTGTTTTTGTTACAGACAAATGTTTTCAAAACTCTCATACATATTTCTCTTAATAGTAATTATTTAGTGCTAAGTCAATTTTTTTTGCTTGCATTGTTTAATAATTTTATTTTTAAATTTTCAAATTTTTTTCTTCCTTTGCCTCAAATGCTTTAAATAAATATTAGGAATACATTTGTATGTATATAAATATGGGTATAATTGTAGATTAATTGTTAAAATGTACACCAAATACACATATATTTTTTTAACCTTTTTTAAACTTTTTTTAAATTTTTTTTTTAGCCTTTTCATTCTCATTTTATTATTTTTTTATTAATTTTTTTATTTTTTGGAGCTCAAAACTGCTTAATACTAATATATAGTAAATTGTGTATGTGAGTAAATATTGTGATTAAATGCAACAGTAATTTGTTTTCTTTTTTTTTTAATATTCTTAGCTCTTTGCTTAGAAACAACAAATATTAAGCTTTTTTTCTACGTAATTTTTTTTTTTTCTCTGCAACTACATATTTATTCATGAACAATACATTTGCTTAGTTAGTGTATTTAAAGTGCACATACAACATTCAACAGACAATACATATACTTGTACATATATTTTCTATTTAGATCTAATTTTTATTTTCTTTCCCAGTACTTTGCTTCCTTATTACTAGTTAATCGTGCTTCCACATTCCGCAAACGTCTCGTAGAATGATGGCTTATGATTTGATTGAATCCAGACTGCCGCCGCTAAACGGGGTTTTCAAGCGTCTGCTAAATGTCCAACACTGCTTTTTGTTCATCCATCCGCGATTTGGTTGCTTGTCGGCAGTGTCTCGTTTTCGTTGCATACATTTTGGGGCTCGAGAGTTGTGTGTGCACGAAAGCCGAGACCGTGCGGTCGAAGGCCGCAAGAATAGCTGTCCTACTTTCATACGTGGTAGGTAGGTAGTTCTTTGGCACACATAAAACACCATTCTACAAAAGGTATTGGCTTAACAAAAGTTTTCAAAAACATTTGTGTATTCTTCGTTATTCTTTCAGAGTAGTCGCGTCGACAAGTGACGAAACTTTTGGTCTTTTGAGACATTAAAATGCTTTTATCTCACTGAAGTAATTAGATTGCATTCTTAATATTTTGGCAATCGGAAAGTGACACGTATTCAGCACTATTATAGCCAGTGTTACCAGGTTAGTCTTTTTCAGACTAGTTTTAGCGTAGGTTTTCTCTAGCCTTTTTTGCCGCGCATGTTCATAAGAAAATTCGGATGTGAACTTATAATAATATTTAATAATAATTAATTAGTAATAATTATTAGTCATTACGGATTATGACTACTTTTCTTTTTACTTTCAAAAACTGCATCGCTTACCGTTCAATAAATAAAATGACTATGCAAAGCACCATTTGTTTGAGAAAATGAGCTCTTAGATTTTCTTAAAAACAAGTACGAATAATCCTTTGTTGAACTGTGTTTTCAAGTAATTTCATGTTTTCATTTTTCTTTAGTTCGATCTGAGAATTTGCCATATCTTAATTAAAAAAAGTTTTCTGTTTTTATTTTCCGGAACTAAACTGTGTTTGGATAAGAATGTTTGAAATATTTATTTATATAGAACCGAAAAAGTCATCAACACGATAAGTACAGGATACAACTTTTCCTAACCTTTTTGCAAAATCAATTTAACTTCGGTCTTTGTGATAATCTGGTCACACTGATTATTGCAGCTACAGCGCATATACAGTAACAAAAGGCTTGTAACTAATAAAATTTATAGTGAATTCTTAAATACATACATTTGCATATCTTAGGCTATTAATATTTAGTGCCCATATTTCAACTTAGTTTGTGTAGAAAAAATTCAAAAATAGCTCAAATTTAATTTTATCGTCTTATAAAATATCTCCAGGGTAAGCCACATTCTCGTCTGAAATTTAAGATGATTTTCATAAATGCAATTTACAGTGTTCGCCCAGTACAACGAACTTTCGGTTTAACTAGTTAATCACCAAAATTATTTCATTTATGTTTCTCTATTAGCAACGCTGTTGAATTTTAGTATTGGGTAAATTGGTTTTTGCTTTTAAGTTCGCACAACACAAATTTTAAACGGCTACTAAAGTACCTGTTTCAGTTTTTTCCAATACAATTTGTAAATTTTTCGGTAACAAAATGTTCGTTAACGTTCAATGGAGTACTTCAGGCCTATGTACTATCGTTACATTCTTAAGTGAATTTTGTAAAAAAAAAAAAATACATGGGATTTTCGCTCAGAAACTATTTTGTTCACGGATTCAGAATCGATGATATAATCCAGAGATGATTCCAATGCCAAATGTTCGTGGCTAGTTAGTCTATCTTGGTTACCCGTAGAACGTGAAAACTTCTTAATTCGAGCTAATAGACTACATAAACGTTCGCCTTCAGCAACAGTCACTGGAACAAGTCAGAAGACTTGGAATGATGCGAAGATATTAGGCAATAATCTTGAGTTTGGTAGCTTGTTTAGGCGTTGGAGCGCAGGAAAATGCTGATCCGTGAAAAGTCTTAAAGTATCGAATTTCTTCAACCAAGTCGATATTAGCGTCCACATCGTACACCTTACAGAAGTATGCTGTAGACGTCCTCTTGCTTGAACTGTGTCTCAGAATTTTAATCCACTGTTTCTTTTGGTAACCCAATTTTTTTTTTCTCCGTCCTTCTTGAAATGTATCTAAGGAACCAACGTTTTGTCCTTCAATCAAACTCTTTATATTGGCGCTTCCACATCAGTGGTAGCATCACTGGCTCAAAAAAAATGTTACTCCGATAGATAATTTGGGTCCAAGTTTTGAACCAAATAGAAGCCAACAAAATACCTTCAAATGATTTCATTTATGTTTTAATATCGTCAACGTCTGATCTTGTTTGAGCGCCCAGATTCATTAGAATAATAGTTTCCGTAGTTTCAATCCTTTTTGGTCAGAATAGAAAGTTTTTTTCTCTTTCATTTCATAGGAGGCGCATCTTTTTTCTTCATTTCAAGGAACACAAAGTTTTCATATTGAAGAAATTATGTTATTCAAACCTGCCTGGTTTTAACGTTATCTGGTTAAAAATTAAAATTCTTTAGTGTATTTTGTTTTTGTAAACTGAGTTAAAAATGTAACCACATTACCAGATAATCTGATAAAGAGGGCGGTTTTAATACCCTAATTTTATTTCATGATTTATCATCTTTTCAGTTTTCAAAACTTGATTCCCTTTTTTTCTATTTTATTCATTGCGCGAGCGTCTTGAACACCCTGAGCCCTTCTCAACTGGCGTGGTTAAGCCAATGGCAGTTAAATTTGCGTTATTTATCTCCATAAAATAATTTGGTTAACATTAAGACACCAATAACTTTGATTTAATTGGCAGTGGTTAAAAAATAAAAATAATAAATTTAAATAATAAAATGTTCGATTTTCCAAGTAAAAAAATCAATCGGTTTAACGAGTTTTTTGATTTTAAAAGTTATGCATACAACATAAAATTCGTTAGATTGGACGACCTTACTTTAAAGCGCTGCAATTAACGAGAAATATTTTCAAGCCTTGTAACAGCTGGTGATTATTTCATTCGCACTTCAATGGCAAAATCACCTTGACTTCAAGTTTTCTGTGGATTCTAAAAAATGCCCTCAAGCTATCAAAACTCATGTAACCACATTGCTGCAAGTCATGTTAATAAAAGCGAGGTAAATATTACAACAAAAGCTTTGATTTGTGTCAGAATTTGCTCTTTCCCTTTTTCAGGTCCTTTTAACCTCTTTTTAATAAACAAAAAAAAATTATCAGCAATAAACAATTCGCTTGGAGAAGTTAGCGTACATCGACCTATTAAGGCAGCCGGTTCTTAATTGCCCTTTATCAGAAAATTTTTCAAGAAAGCGCTATTAGAGATCAAGGTCCAAAAGCGGCCTATCCCGGCCGTCGAAATGTACTTATAACGTTAAGCAATGCATTCCACTTTCTATTTATTTCCTGTTAGATTTGATACCCATTTTTATGGTTGCTTGCTGGTTGGTTTGTGTTTTGTAAATGTGTATGTTAGACGTCTATAAATATTATGGCATTAATTAGCGGCTATTTATTTCTCATTAATATATTGGTTTGCTTCTTCACAACGTGGTTTTTCAAGATCTTTCCAATTCCTAGTGTAATTACGTATGAATGCGTGTGCGTGTTTGATTTATCTGCCTGCAGGGAAAAATAAATTTGTGCAGAACGATCTGCGGCAATAGCTTTGCTTTGTGCGGGCAAAACAAAAACAAAAGCGCCCGCTCTTCTATAGCCTGTTTATACTAAATATCAAGAAGCAAGTACACATTTTGAATTCCAGTGATTGCGAACTAAGAAAATAAATCACCAAATTTTACATATATGAAATAAATTATCCTGAAAAAGTTTAAGATTCGCGAATATATATATTTTATGCGCGAATAGAACGGTGTTGTCGCAATGTGCTTCCCTGCACGGCAATGTAAAACCTTCACTCCTACTGTCTTATATTTTTTTATCTATACGCAAGTCTTGTATGAGTGCTTAGTTGAGTGTGTGCGTGTATATAAGTATGTGTGTGTGTGTGTAAATTTGCGATGCAAACAAATGTTATTTCTTTTGATTTTTCTTTTTTCTCAGTATTTTGGTAACTATAGATTTGAAGAGGTTCTGCTTTATTCATAAATACCCGAGCGTAGCATAGGTCTTTACAAATGTGCCATCGCTGGTGGTTACGTTTCTGTTAAGGAAAAATATAACAAAGTCAGTTCAAATTTATCATTTTCATCCGAATTCTGATTACTTACTCATCCTCCCAGGGGCACACCGCATTGCGGTCAGCTTGGTTATTCGTGCCACCACTGGCCTCTGTCGTCGCACCACCTGCCGCCGATGTGCTGGCCCTCTCTTTCTCATCTACGGAGTGTGGCTTTCTGCCATCTACGATGCGTTTCTTACGCCGTTTCTTTACCTCCTCTGCGATGACTGGCACTATAGTTTCGACAATCGCTGGCATAACTGTTTCGGCTGTTGGTGTTTTTGGCAGCTCTTCCACTTCAACCATTGGCTCGATCTCCTCGCATGGCTCATCGTCATCCACCGTATCTATATCCATTTCGGCTAGTGGCGCCATAGACGGTGCCGGTGTCGGTGCGGGCGGTATATAGCCAGCTTGTGTGTCGGTGTCTATGATGTCATAATCGTAGTCCTCCTTGTCGTCGCCGTCGAACTGCAGACCTTCTTGGTACTCGTCGGTAGTGGGTGACAGCTCTTCTTGGGTCTCTTGTGCGGCTGCGATTTCCTCTTCCATGCGCAGTTGCTCTTCCTCCTCCATCGGACCGATAGGCGGTGGGGGTGGCGGTATCATTGAGACGGCCATTGGCATTGCATCCGCAAACATTTGTGTTATGTGTGCTTGGGCCGCAGGCTGCACTTCGGAAGTGTTGAAAAGTGGTGGAAGCGTTTGCTCCGCTACAGGCGTTACTTGCGTGGAGTTTCCAAGGCTTGGTGTGGGCGTCTTTTGAGTTTCGCTATCGGAGGCCTCTGCTTCGGTCGGTGCTTCTGAAAAGATATAAAATTGCGTGTGCACATACTTTTTTTTCTTTTGCTTGGTTACAACTAACCTGCACCTACGTCAGTTGCAGCTGACGGTTCCACCTCCTGATCAACTTGTATTGTTGGTTTTGGCAACTGCGGGCTCTTTTCTTCCTGAACGTCGAAACTTTCTATAAGCTCAATTTGCACCTCTTGCACAGGCACCGCTACATCGGATTCGGATATAATTAAGCTGCCATTGTCACTGTTGCCACTTCCACCGCTCTCTTCCGCGCCACACAACAAATCGCTGTGTGGGCTCTCACATGAGACTAGCTCAGCCGGCTGATAATAAGTGGGGACGCTGTCATCTGGCGGTGGTGGTGTCACCTTTGTCATGGGTGGAGGTGTGGGAGTCGGGGGTGGCAATGCTGACATTTCGGAGGCGGACGATTCGCTGTTGCGTTGCGATATCGCCAACTTGTTGAGTTCCTCTTCGATTTCCACATCCGATATGGAAGGTGGATCCTTCGAAATAGTGCCAGAGGAGCTGCTAATGGCGGTTGCCGTGGCAATGGTGGCAATACTTTGTGTGAGCAGCGGCGGCGTTGGCGTTGGCAGCGTGGCGTCCACAACACTTTGACTGCCCACGGTGGGCGATGGGGTAGACGATGTCTTCGCAGATATGCACGTCTGTCCATATTGGTATTCTGCTATACGACTTTAAGGGGGGCAGGAACAAAAAGTCATTTAGAAAATACCTGCAGTTGCAAGTTAACAAAAAAAAAAATAGCAGGAAACTTACGATGGCGTGAAGGACATCGAAGCTCTTCGTTGTTCGCTGAAGTTCGGCACGAGACGCTTACTCGCTTCGCCGCTATCGACGGTGTTCTGATGACGTATTCCCAAATTGCGTGGCAAGCGATCCGAAACCTCGCTGATATCCGAAGACGTGCTGTAATAGAATTTTACATTTAGTAGTTTGGAACATCAATGCTGTGCCTATTTGCAGCTATTTACCTGGTGAGACGCTGTGTGACCGATTTGGCTACTTTGCCACTAGTAATGGCAGGCGCACTCTCCTGCTCCCACGGACACACGGACAACTTAACTTGGGATGGCTGAAGTAGTGTCGGTGCTTGTGTTGTGGGTGGCTCATCAGAAGTTTCCCAAGGGCACACTGCACTACTGGACGTTTCGACGGTAGTCTCTAGTCGGGCGGGCTTCGCCTTGGATGTCTCTCTACGGAGTGATGGGAATCGTATTAATAGGGAGCGCCCAGAATAAGTGAATAAGCACATTTAGCAAATTTTTCATGTCGTTTTAAATACAGATAAACATTTGTACATACATACATATTTACAATACAACAGTTAGAGTATCTCAGATAAGTGTTTAACTTAAAATCCAGCATAGCAACGAAAATGCAATAAATTTCATGGGCAAAAAAGTGAGATTTATTTTGAAAGAGTGTTAACGCGGAAAGTTAGCTTGATTTCACAGGAATGAGACTGAATTAGGAAGGATTACAATTAGCACAGAGCCATAAACAATCAATTCAACACAGAGCATGAATAACGTTGAGTTATGAGCGCGAAGACATGATGAACAAATATACTTAAATACATACAGAAGATAACAAAATGAGCAAAAAAATCAAATTGGAGTTAAATTGTTGAAAAATTTGCGATATGAAGTAGATGAGTGGCGCAGAGGATGATGCAGTATGTATGTATGTAGTATGTAGTTAGTTCCCTTATCAGGAGAGTGGTTAACACAACACGCCAAGTTTGACAACAACGGTAGTTCGTTAGATTTGTAGAGCAACAGCAACAGCAGTTGGGAAGCAGTGGATAGATAGTAGTTAAGAGTTGTTCTGAAATGCTTGGTGGTTTTAGAGAGAAAATAACATCTTACTGATGGGAGCGTAAATTGCTCGTTGGGCTGTCGCGATTTCCGAGCGGCGGAGCCTGCGTTGCGACATCCGTGACTTGGAGTTGCGGCATGTCCCCCCTGTAAATGGCTTCACTACTGCATATATTCCATATTCGCGAATTATATTCGGTATGATTTCGTGATTTATCCAGTTTTGTTTTGTAATATTTTTAATTAAATATTTTAGTAATTGTAATGCGTTTGAATTGTGTTTCGAACAAAAAGTTGTGTATGGTAATATGCGAAAAAGAAAATTAGATTGAAAATTTAAATGTATGTAGAACTTTTATCAACGTAACGAAAAAGCGTTTTAAAAGAGGCTTTATTATTTTGCAGGGACCGCATATAACAGTTATTGATGAAAACTGTTATTAAAAAATTCACTATTTAGGAAATTTTCTATAACTAAGTGGCACATACCAACCGATTTCTTTTTTTCACCGATAATCAAATTTGAAAATAAATTTTTATTTGTAACTTTTATGCAAGATTAAAAAAAAAAACATTACTTTTAATTTTTATTTTATAAATCCAAAATAACAATTATTTTTAATTTGTATCTAATTCACTTCCGAGTGAATTTCATTTCCTGCCAATTAGAATTAAAAGCGGATTAGATTGAAATTCACTCGGAATTTGGATTTATAAAATAAAAATCAGAAAAAAATGTTTTTTAAGGAGTAATTAAATAAAGGTCAAAAAACATTTGTTAACGAGCGATTTTTTTAATAAAATTTGTAACTGTTACGGTCCCTGTTATTTTGTCATAGATATGTTACTGCGTTTTTATTTAGCACTCAGTTTTACTTAAGTCATTTAGCTAAAAATTTAACTGGAAATTATACAAAATTATTTACGAAATATTGCAGAAAAAGCAACATCTAACAGAATAGCACACCTGACTATTTATTTGCTCAGGTCAACGACTAACTTCGACAGAGTCCACTAAGTGAGCGTACGCAGCCAACTTACCTGTAGGGAATTTCACTCAGATTGCTTTGCGAGTGCGAATGTGGCACTTTGGATGTGATGTCCTTATTTACGCCAATCACAGCCAGCTCGTGTGCGGACCCGCTGAGGCTGCGGTCGCTGCCACGCCGTCGTGCCAAATTTCCGGGCGGCGGCGCTTGCATCATTGAAGAGCACACACCACCGCCGCCAGCATTCTTTGTAGCTGTCACGCTTCCAAGATTCGGTTGGCTGGATAGCGCCGCAGTCATCTTCTTTTTGCCAGCACCGACGCCACCGAAGTTAAAGAAGCGCTTCTTGTTTTGCAACGGCTGCACGCCAGACTCCAGAAGACGCTTGTAGTGATCGGAGCGTATGAAGCGCGGATAGCAGTCCTTCTTTAGCAGCAGCATGTAGATGTGCTCGGACGCAGAGTCAAAAGTAAAACGTGAGGGATTTTTCAGACCTTTCAGCACACTCTCCATCGTTTTGCCGTCAATGTTGATTTCGCATGGTGCGCCCGGCTTCAGAAACTCTCTGCGAAAGAAATTATGAAAATTTTAAAATCTCAAAAAAAAAAATGGCGTCGTGTGTGTTGCTCGCTGAAGCTCACTCGTAAATTTCGTTGACCTTGCGCGCAACCTGCGAGTGCGCTGAACGCCGCAACCGGTTAACTGCAATCCAGAAGCGTATATTCTCGTGCGAGTACTCCTTTTCCAGAAAGCTGGTGAACTCCTGCAGGCCAGTGGGATCGGAAACCAGCTCCTCGATTGAAATCGCCCAACGTTTCACACGTTTCTCCGTGGGTGCATCGACGAAACTGTTGTTCAGCTGCCAAAAAGTGGTGTCCTCCGTAACCCATGGGTTCGACGGCAATACTGGCTGGAAAAAGAAGTCAAACTCGGCAAATGTCTCCGAATAGGCGACCAGTGATTCGCAAGCCTGAGACATCTTCATGCGCGTGCGATTGAGTGACTTGCGAAGATAGTCCACTTCCCGCTGCACATCTTCTATAGTCTTCTTCTTGTTCGGCTTAGAGCCCAAACGATCACGTGACGGTATGGGGCATGGCTCCAGGGGAGTAAACTGGCCGGGCGGTGGACGGTGTACACGCCAATAGGCGCGTTCCTATCGGTAAAATATACAGATACACTTGTAAAAAATGGCATCAATTGTGCAATATTACACGCGCTTACTTGTGAGTCACTGACAATCTTGTCACCCTTCTTTCGCTCCTTAGCCAACCGCGTCTGTTCCTCAGCCTGCATTGAAATGAAGTCCCATTTACCTTTGAGACTCTTGTGCAGCGATGCTAAGGCTTCAGCCTCGTACTCCTCCAATGCGTGGCGTTGTTTGTTGCGCAGTGAACGCTTGGTCAGATAGATGGCATACTCTACATTGTCGGGTGCCTTGTGCTGCCAGGGCCAATAGTATGGTGTCTGAAAGCGATATAGTGAAGAGTCATCTTTGACTGCGAGTGATTTGGTGTCATGAACGGGAAAGAAATAGCCATGCAAGCAAAGTTGGTTGGCTATGTTTAATGCTTCAGACTCCTCACAAAGCAAACGGTCCATCAGCCACTCGACAAGATCATAGCCTGGAAAGAGAAAATTTAATTCCAACTCGATATGAGGCAGAAGGTGTGAAATGTGAGAAAGAGAAAGACGTACCCATAAAGGCAGATGGAATATTGTTGAGGAAACCCTTCTGCATGCGCACCGGCACGGCTTTTTTATTCTCTCCATAGTCCGTCTGCATGGCGCGTACGATCGTCTCCATCTGCAAAATGAACAAGATGATGAAATGAATAGAACAAAATATATTCCTGGTTATGAACCACTTTATGCTATCAGAGGAATTTTCAGATTTTGAGGTCCAAATTGAGAGATAGTCGAAGACTAAATAAGAAATAGGAATATTCGCGCTATTCTATTCGCGCTGTTTTATTTTCTATCCGGATTTTGATTTTTCTATTTAAAAAATCCCGATTTATTTGCCAGCCCTGCCATTTATGCTCTTCGGTTTAGATTTTGAGAGTTAAGAAAAGTACTTTTTGGGCTGTCCTTGAACTCGCGACGTTATTTGGACAGCGAAAGTAAGAAGTCCTTTGAGTGCAAGAGGCATACCAAGCTCAGTATAACTAGTGGAACTTTGCAACGGAAACTAACAACATTTGGCTTGACTATCTTCAGGTTGAAATACCTGATCGTTATGCTTATCAAGAGACTCAATTGGAATTGGTATCTTCCTAAATAGTAAAGCAAGGCAGGTCACGCAGACCGACATATTAGAGACTTTTTTGGGAGGTGTGCTCTGAGCAAGACTGTTTCAACTGGGCTTTGGTATCGCGGCTAGAATGAACTCTGATTCAAAATTTCATACAATCGGCAAACGCAGTTCAACTGCGATATCTGATGGGATGGGCATTTTCCCAATAGCTTTGTAAGCCAGGTATCAAGTAAACAATGCCTGAATTTTGGAGAAGGTCTCAGTGAATACTAATCCGGTTGGAAAGTTGACTACAGTGGGGCAACGAACTGCTAAGAGAAACAATGCAGTTCATTGAGATAAATTACCGAAACTGCCTTGTGGTTGGGAGGGCAGGTTAAGTTAGTTCAAATCTTGACTAGTGGGGCTCGTAAGTATAGGGCACTTTTTAAAAAATTACCTTAGATCACTGTTCTTTCTTTCAATTTCATTCTCTGCCTATTATCGCTTATTATCTATCAACGTCATGTCACAGCGTAATGCGCTCACTTCCTTTTCAAGTAACTAACATACCACAAAATGGCTTCACTACCACTACTGCTGCCACTGCAACATGAACGCGTCGAGCGCATCAAAAGCACAAAGCAAAGTCGCATATGAAATACTAAAATTATTAGTGAGTACGTACCTATTTACATACATATGTATGTATGTATCCAAGTACTCGCATGTACATACATACATACCAACATAATTGACTAGCGGTATGCCAAGGACGCATTGCTGCGCGCATAACTGCTCAAAATCAAATTAATTAAGTTTCAAGGATTTTTTTTTATGTTGCAGCAAGCGCGCAGACGAAGCAACGAGTTACGGCAAGCACCACACTCGCATAGTTGTGGGCTGTCGTTCAAGTAGTTACATAGCTTAGTTGGCATTGGTTTTGGGGTACGAGTAACCAACTATTGGTTTGATCGGCTGTTGTTGGTGCTTCGACTTGAAGGCTCAACCTAATTTTTAAATCAGCTGTCAACGTCAACATCAATGTCGCTGGTGAAATCCAATTTGTGAATATCTTGCATTGTGGGTGAGGAGGACAAGGTCATCTCATCGCTGAGTGAACGAACGAGGAGCTCGAGTGTACTCACACACACACAAAAAAAAATAAAAATTTTTATTTTTAAACTAACAAACATACATACATACATGTAAATATGTTAGTATGCATTTATACGACATCGTTAAATTTTCAGTGCTGGAACGAGGAGAAGAACAATTGCTCGTAAGCTAAAGGAAGCTGCTGGATTTTTAATTGATCGATAATGCAATAAGTTGGTAATTGAAATTTGAGCAATTATTAGCTGCATAAGCTGGTTATATGTTAGTGCAATGATTGTGCCGCTTCCAATGTACGTAATTTATTTTTTGACAGTCATTGAGGTGTGGAAATACTTTGAGCAAACAAAGATGGCGGGAGAAGACCGATTTTATTATAAAATATAGATTTTGGTTGGTCTCTGTATCTACTTTAATATGATCAGTGGAAGAGTATGGTTTTAACTCAAGTAAAGATTAAAAAGTGGTTCCAAAGTACCCAGTTATAATGCGTACCAAATGTTTTTGGCAAAGCTGGAATACAAATGTAGAAATGGCGTTAGAGCTCGAAAATCATTAACTTTGACGATCTGATTACATAGGCATGTTGAGGATAAAACATCGGAATTGGTGGCGAGAATTCTCGGCTCAATAAGAGCTGATCGAAACCAACAGCAGCTTGCGATAAAGGTGCTCGTAAACGATGAGAGTTATTCTCATAAGAGTGGCGCCATGTTTGTGTGAGTATGGGCGTTTACACGCACATTAATTCTCACTGGTATTTTATTCGTTCTCAAGAGAACATTTCCGGTAATAAAATTCTCATTCATTCTCATGTCTGTTTACACGAGGAGCCCGCATGCTCCTGTGTGAGAATAAAATATGTAATAATATATGAATTTACTTATGCATGAAAAACAAGTAAGGACAGTGCCATCTTCGGCTATACTTCATACCTTTCATGAACATCAGAAAATTCTACTTCAACCGACTGGAAGTGGAATTAGGAAACTGTGTATGGCGTTATAGATGAAAAGGTATAAGTAAATTTTGCTAGCGAACAAAATAAACTTTGCGGTATTAATTGGTGCTTTATTAAAAAGACTTGGGGATTATATGCCGACATGAGCTCTCGTAGAGCCTCAAGCTGAAACCGCCTTCAAACAAAATATTTTTTTTTTTTTCATTTCATTTCTGGACTCAGGTGGAGTTAATACTGCACGACAGCCAAGGGTTGTGTCAGTTAACTGGCTCACTCCCATCCATACCGTAGATGTATCGCGAATTCTATAATTGTAAGGATAACATTTATTAAAGAGGCGGTTAAAAGCTCCAATCAATCATTATTTCCTCGTTTCCAAAGAAGACCCACGATTGACCAATTGACCTGTGTACATGTACGAAACATAATTTCTTGGTAGTGATTGAGGGGCTCTCAAAAATTTCTAAGTTGAGCTTTTAAAAATATAGACTTCGAAGTTAATTTCTTTCCCGACATCGAGGACATATCGATGCGACTAGAAAATACCATTGTAACTTTTTTCATTATTGTTTGAGAAAACAAAGTACTTGGTAGCATATGAACGGTAACTTCGATTTCATACCTGAAAAAACTGATTAATAGGTGAGTAGCGGTATTTGGAACTCTGTCCAGTTAACATAATAATGTTGTATGTGTCAAAGTTTGATGGTATGTATGTATAAGGTGTGTTTTGCCAATAACTCTCGACTGATATCAATTTTAGGCTCCCGAAATTCTGCAAAGTATTTCAGGAAGAGGTGACACTCATATATATACAATATCCACTCTGATGCCCAGCGGCAATCGCGGCTTCAAGATTGCTCCATGCGCATGATCGAAGCTAGTTGGGGGCTATATGGCCTCATTCTCGTGCGCTTCGTCTTACGTCCAAGTCAGTTTTGGCTGATAAATTGGCCGGGCAGACGATCATTGAGTTAATCTCTGCTGGCATGGACGATACTATATACGAGTTTGAGTGGGTAATAACTGATTCAGAGAGCGTTATGCGAAATCGCTGTGCTGCAAAGTTATAAAGTCCTGCTGACCTGTAGCCGACCGCGGGTCGATCGAAGCGGCTTCTGCAGCCGGTTAAGCGACAACTCTCGCTTCTGGCAGAAGTCCCCACCAGGGCACACAGAAACTCTTCTTCAATTTCTATATTTTACCTGCGAATTCGAAAACTATTAATTTTAGCCCTCAAATACTGTATTAGTTGAACAACTTGCACTTTCCAAGGCACAATTATTTATCTTTGCTTTAAAAGACAAAAACAAAATAACTGATTTTCTCAATCAATTTTGAATTTTACACAAGGCACATACATATATATTTTTCAAGCCTGCAAGGCATATTTTTGAGTCCTGCAATTTTGGTTCCAGCAAATAGCCAGCATCACTTCAAACAACATGCGCAACCACAGCTTATTTCTGCTCTTAGTCTTTTGTATTTGTAAGTATTTGCTGATTGGGTAACAATTAAATGCCACGAAGTGTGTAGCACTGACTCTGCTTGCAGTTTCGTTTCAGCAAACCCAAGCATTGCGTCGCATCAAACGCGGATCGATCGCAATGCAAAACATAACCAAACTTTCCAATGACCTTCTATCGGATCAGCGCTCTATAACGAATGACATCAAAATGGCCGCTCAGAATGAGCACACAGCAAATACGTCAGGTATCCATGAGGACGTGAATGGTCACTCCGGGCACGCGTGGGCCAAAAAAGCCGTGGCCGCTGTGGAGCACGCCATAGATAAAGGTTTGCGGTAGCGCATTTTATTATTCCTTCCTAAAACGTTTTATACCTTTCGTACGTACGTAGCCTTCGCTTCGCTCAGCCACAAATCTGATGCGGAGAAAACCAAAAAGAGCACAAAGGCCAGCCACTCACCGCAGCAGCTTGCCGGAGCGGCACCAAAGTTGATGGAGGATGGCAGCGTTGTTAGCGAAGACCTGCACCAGCCATCGCTGACTTATCTGCTAAACAATGGTGGGTTCGGGGAGCGCTTTTTTGACGACATGCAGCATGGCGCCGCATTCGGTTCTGGCGAGGGGGGTGCTGCAGAGGTGCTGTTCATCGATAATGGACCGCAGCCGATGATGGGCATGCAGCACGGCCTCAACTCCTTCACATTCCATCAGCCGAATTCACGGAGCATTGCCAATAGTTTAAAACGTTGGTCCGAGATGAGTAACGTATCGAAACTAAATAGTCGCAATTCACTAAAAATCAATACCGACCATTCGAACAACATTGCAGAGAACAACAATGCGGTTGGAAAGCTAAGTAATGATAACGGCGTTAGTGAGGGAAATGCCAACAAAGATGCCGTGCTGAAGAACAATAAGCGTAATGAAAATCACAACAATAGCGTTGACAACAAAAGCGCGAATGCCAGCATGGGCGATGCTCACAAGCGGAACAATGACCACAATGCCGTAAGCAGCGAGGATAATAGCAAAGCTAAATACAATGGCGATAGCAACAACAATAATAATAACGGTGACAAAAGTAATCACACCAACGGGCAGCCGGGGCCGGAAATGAAGGAGTCATCGCTCTCTACTTTGTTATCGCAGTCGCACAAGCCAGCGGAAGTTATTGAAGAGCCGGGAAAAGTGTATGAAAAATCACAAGACTCGCAGCAAAGAATGAAACAAGACAGTGAGAAAGCGGCGAATATGGCACGGGAGGCACTGCAAGCGTTCAAGCATTCGAATGGAAAAACACTGCCAATGGAAAGTTACCTGAAGTTCGCCAACATGATGCTCTACAAAGTGGGACCAGGTGAGTTAATTCGGTTGCAAAAATAGCTGACCTTTTAAAGTAGGTAGCTAAAACTTATAAAACCCAACCCATTGTAAATCCGTTTTACAAATTAAGTTCCCCTCCCCTCCCCCCAGACGGTGCTCCCATTCAAGCTCAAGGCGCTCAACTCTCTGTCAACGGCAAACCAACCAAGTCAGTCATAAGCATTGGCCCAGCAGTTGGGGTTGCCGAGGACGCTGATGCCATGGACTTTTTCTACAACTCAATGAATCCTCAAATAAGCTTGCTGCATAATTCGGCAGCCACTACACCTACACTGATAAATCCAAGCAATTCTGCTTTACTTTCACGGCCATTACTGTTGCCCCCTTACAGCTTGGCAGGGCCCACACAACCAATCAATTTTATTGAGAATGCCTTGGATCTGCTGCTAAGCGCTGAAGATGAAGGAAATGACGAATTGGAACTGGTTTGCCCCATACATCACCCGAAAAAGAAGTCGAGCGAGAGCAGCGGAGACGACGGCAAAGATAAGGATGGCGTCATTCAAGTGTGCTCATGTCGCTTTTTTAAGAAAAGCAAGAATGCCTAGATTTCGCTGAGTGCCTACAACAGTCCAAAAGCTGCATGCGTACATATGTCGCTTCTGTGAATATTATATTTCCTAGCTACCCTTTGTTATTTTTCTCAACATTTCTGCTATACAATAAATATTTGTTCTTCTATATATTTAATATAATTGAGTTACGTTTTCTTTATCGGACTCACCTTATCAAATGCCATCGGACGTGACAGCTTTTCAATGGTCTGTCCACCGCTCGAAGTGCTGCAGCTGCCGCTCGAGATGCCGCCAAGCAGCGACGAGGTCGACGACGAGTTCTGAACGCCATACGGTTGAAGCGGATGCGCTGGCAAGTGGTGCGTGTGCGGAGGATGTGGATGGTTGGGTGTATGATGTGGCTGATGATAGTGCTGTACACCCACGGCGCTGCCGCTGAACACAGTGGCCGCCTGAGTGGTGCCCGATATCGCTATGGCTGCGGTTGCTAGCGCAGGACTGGTGCTCGCTGGCACCACGCCACTACCGCCCGCTGCGGTTACACACACAGCATCGCCGCTGAGAGCGCGCACAAGTGCGTTGGTCGTGTTGAGCGATGCCGCACTAACGGTCGCAGTCACTGTGGCAGCTGCACCAACCGCAGCCGGCGATGTGGTGGCCGTCGAGTGCGTTTGCTGCTGCTGCTGCTGCTGAAGATTCAGTGCTAGAGTTGGCTTCACTTGCGACACCAAAGGCACCAGTTGCTGCTGCTGCTGCTGCTGAGCGCGCAGCACTAGTTGTCTGTCTCTGTCCGGCGGCAAGCCGCCAGGAGGCTCCATGGCCACTGCACAAATGAACAATTGCGCCTTGATTGGCACAATTTGCGCGAAAACGTCTGCTTCGTTGGGGAATTTATTTTGTTGGCTTGATTCACCAGGGTCAGCGCGAATTGTGGGATCGCGGAGTTTGAGATTCCTTGCAACGATTATGTCGCTATGGAGAGACAATGTATATAGCTTTCTTGGTATTCAAGTCGGTGGTGCTGGTTGCTGTTCAATTTCCAATTGGCGTGAAATCCGTCGCAGCTCTAACAGAGTCAAATTGATTTAGTTGGATTTAATTAAGTCAAGACGAGACGTGGCAAAGGCGGCGAATCAATTCGTGACAAAGATTTAATTGAATTCGCACGTAGACGAGAGTATAGCTTAGTAGTGGTAATGTAAAGTTTGGTTTTTCTGTTCTACCTCTGTATTTTTTTGTAATAGCTTCTTTATTCTTGATTTCGATTTTAGGTGCACCAAAATCTTTTTAGCCAAACTCCATCATGTCTTTGTGTATAAAAATATTCGCTGCAAATAGCAAAGTAAAAAAAAAAAATTTATAAGTAAATAAGTCACACACCACGAAGCTGAGTCGTTTCTGCATGAAAGTAACAAGGATACTAGGGTTGGAGAAAGAAAATTCTTGAAAATAGGACACGTACATACAAATGAATAGCTGTAGCAAAATTTTAAACTAAAATACATTTCTACAAATTAAACTTTAGCAGAACTCATTAAACACTTACAATGTTTCATTTTTTTTTTTTTAGATTGGTTGCTCCTTTTTTCGCTTAAAATATTTCCTCTAAAACAGCATTTGTCGTTGTACCCGTTTTTTGTCCGTTTGTTATTGTTTTTCCTTTAGAGCCTTTATATGTATTTAGTGTTCCGCTCTCTCAGACTAAGTGTAGTCGCTGATGGAAGCTGGTGGATGCCGTTAAATTTGCTTACTCCTTCGCAGCATGCGTGTATTGGATTTGTTGACGCATCCGTGGGCACAAAGTCTTTGCGAGAACAAGGCGCTCGTGACACCACCTCTGCTAGCTTTGGTTGTGCTGGTGGTGGTGGTGATTTTTGTGGCGATAAATGAGCTTATTTTCCAGTTATGCAATATGTGCCAAAGCCGTAGAGATATTTGCGTAGTTTTGGCAATTTTTGGCCTTTCTCGTATTTTAATTGTGTTGATTTGTGATTTTGCTCCAGCCGTAGCCGTAAGGGCCGTTGCTGTTGTTGTAGCACTAGATTTTGGTTTTGTTGTCGCGATATTTGCAGCCTCACAGATAGGTGCGAGTGCGCTCGTCTTTGTATTGAAGAGTGCCCACTTGAGGCTGCAATCCATTGCGTCATCACAACGGCATAAATTTCAAAGCCTACAAGAAGAAGAAGAAAAATGGGTGGGATTAGGCCAAACAAAGATCTATATATACAACAAAATTGTATGTGTTTAAACTGTATATCGATGGCTGAGTGGAAGATCGACCTATCTCGGCTGCCAGTTCGAAAATCCTCTATCTCAAAAAACTTTTCAAAAACGCCCTATTTCAGAATTTTATTGAAAAACACCCTATCTCAAAATTCGGCTCAAAAACGCCCTATCTTACTTCAAAATGTATTGAAAATATGTTGATATAGGGCGTTTTTGAATCGGCAGCTGAGATAGGGCATTTTTGAAACGAATTCTGAAATAGGGCGTTCTTGAAAAATTTTTTGAGATAGAATGTTTTCGAACTGGCTGCCGAGATAGGTCGATCTTCCACTCAGCCATCGATATTTTCTATTAATTAACTGCTATCAAATCTAAATTAATATAGCATTAAATAGAGGTGGACAATTTTGTGTGAAGGCGGCCATGACCAATAGTAACCATCAGTTACCACCGCTTATGTTTGAAAACTAACAACTAACTAACACTCACATTCATAAATCGAAAATTCGTTTGACAATCTTCCTTTCCCTTAAGGAATGAATTCATAAAGCTCCTAAAATCCACGTATTTTATTTTTTATGAATGAGGCCATAAGAGTTTTGGGGGGGAATAACAATACAAAAATAATTTTAAGGCGCAGTGAAGTATGGCGGATGTTTGCTAGTCATTACGTAAATATGTATTTCCTTTTAGATTTCTTCTAACTTTTATATTTTGTGTTATCTCTACTAGTACTAGAATTTTTTGTTTTTTTCTTACAAAATCACTAACCGTAACTAAGTTTTACTAAGAGTACCTCACTATTGACATCTGTGTTAACGCATGACAGCTTTCGCTAATTACTTCAAAGTATCATTCGTATTGAATAGGCCCATCCACATGCAGCCATCGTACCCAACACTGAATATTACTTTTTACATGGCATGGCGTAAAGAATGAACCATTGCAAAATGCTTCCATGTATGTACATATGTATTTGATGCTTCAGATATAAACGCTTTCTACCACCAGAGCTGCCAACTTGGCTCAAACCGTGCCATTTTTGGCCCTATTTTACTTCAAATGGCACTTAATTTTTCAATTTGGCACAAAGTGCCAAAATGGCACTTTCGAAAAAAAATAATATTTCAAAACATTTTTGTGAAATCCTTTGCGCATACATATTCCCTTTTCTCGACTAAAATTTTCTAATTTCTATAGTGCATACAACTGGTTGACCTTACTTTGGCATTGGACTTTTGTTGTAGGAATTTGTTTCTAATTTTCATACAAAATGTGAAGAATTAAAAAGAATAGCGCCCTTTTGGCACTTTTATTTATCTATTTGGCACTTTTTTATCCTTAATATGGCACTTCATAGCTAAGCGTAGTTGGCAACCCTGGCTACCACTCGTTGCTTCACTCAGCGCAGGTAAAAGAGTAATAATGGCTGCAAAAGGGCACTAATTGCACACAGTTGACATGGGCTGCTCATACGCTCGCAAATTGGCTGAGTATTGTTTGTAATTTCCTGCTGCGCTGTCAAAAAGCATGTATGTTTTTTCTCTTTTTCTTTCTTTACCCAGTGTGTAGGTGATATGCATATATGTACACAAATGCTCATCTACATATACACATGCCAATTTAAACTTTAAAACTCATGTCTGCACTTGCTGGCCCACTTTGATGGCCCTTTCATGCCCTTGATGTACACTAGGGCGGTCCAAAAATGCAGGCGAATAAAAAAAAAGTCGGGATTTTAATGCTCTCACCCCCTATATCGAAAAAACATACCACTGTTTTTTTATTAAAAATATTTAGAGATCGCTCAAAGCGCTCAAAGTTCTCGATGTTGTTTATATGAGAACAAAATAAACTTTTGTTGAAATGGTATGGAATCCTTGAAAACCAATATTTTTCTATAGGAAAACTCAGTTTCTTTTCAGCAGACTTCAAAGAATAACACCCAATTGCTTATTTAGCCATTTCTAATAAAAACTATTTTTATCGGTCCCCCATTAAGTTTTTCGGGGTTTTCGATTGCCCCCTAAAAAATAATGAAAATTAAAAAATTTGTTAAATTAGCATTTGGAGTAGAAACAAAGTTGAGAGAAAGATCGAAAATATTGATTTTCAAGAATTCCACCTTTTTACCAAAAATGTTTCTCTTCATATAAAATACAGGGAAAACTTTGCGCACTTTAAGCGACCTGTAAATATTTTTTGCTTTAAAAACAAAATAAACCGGGGTATATTTTTTCGATGTGGAACAATTCTAGGGTATGAGATCTTTAAAATTCAGACATAACTTTGTTTGCACCACCCTAATGTGCATACATTCATATGCATTTGTTTGGTTTGCTCTCTGTGTGTGTGTGTTGAGGCCCTGGCTGCTGTACTAACAAAGTAAAATACAAATAGTCGAGCCGGTGTGGTGGAGAGTGACTTGCCGCTTGACTGAGTCAATAATCATGTTTTTATATGCACTCAGCGGAAGTCTAATTAATTCTGCAGGAAGCACAGTTAATATGGTAATTTCCGGTTAGTTCAACCTGCACACATGCACCATGACCAAGTATATATACGTACATATGTAAGTGTGTGTTTTTTTTCAAGCCGGTGAGGATAGAAGAAGCAAAGACAAATACGTGACTGGTTCATTGGTGTGCGTGAACTGAGTGGTAGCAGCAGCACGTGCGCAAGGACAATACAGGCGATTAGCAGATGCAGGGTTGGTTTTTAAGTATTAATGAAATGTGGCCTAGCAACACCTAAGTGTTTAAGTACATAAATATATGTACATATTTAGTTTGTATGTATCTACTCAGAAAAAATATGTACTTACATATATGCCAAGGTCATATTTTGATATGCGGATAGAAAGCAATGCATATGAAGTAGGTATAAGCGTTAGACCAAAACCACATTTACCCGCATGCTACGTTTCAAAAGCTGGTTTTCAAATGCTGAATATTTATAATTCTAGCGAAAAATGGTAAATAATATTTGACAATTTAGATACCAAATATTCTTCGTCTTCTTATTTGGCGCTACAACGACCAGATTGTTTTTTTTTCTGCTCTAATACTACTAGCTGGTCAATATGCCTTAGTGAAAAGTAATTTTTTTTATGTTGAAATATATATGTATGTATATATAGTAGGAAGGTCCAAAAATACATGCGAGGAAAAAATTTTGAAATGTTAAGCTCTGACCCCTAGGATTTTTCGTAATGGAAAACGCGTATATTTTTATTAAGAACAATTATGATGAGGGCTTTGAGGCAGCAAATTAAATTTTCCATATCTTTCATATGGAGAAAAATCACCTTTTCGTAGAAATTGTATAAAATTCTTGAAAATCAATCGGAAGAATCTTACCCAGAAAGAATCGTTAGTCTTAAAAAATTGCTTAGTATTATTGGAAGTTTCCTGAAGAGAAACAGAGTTATCCTAGCGAAAAAACATTGATTCTATAACATTTCTATGGAATACTGGTATTTTTTCATTTAGAAAAACTTTACAAACTTTTTGTTTTATATTTTTGATGTTGGCTTGAACCAGGCTTAAACCCAGACCCTGCGGAATAGTAGCGCGCACTGCTGACCACTACGTCACTTCGGATTCCGCTATAGCGTAGTCGAAAATAGCGCGGTCATTCGTTACAACCATAGATAATTTTCAATAAACATTTAGCAAGTATTTATACAGTTATTAATTTAAACCTTCACCTTTATTTTTTCTTGCTTTCACTTATTAAAATATTGATGCCCTGATAAAGTTGCGGATCACGTACGCATCAACACTTCCAGTAGCATTGGTCTCAGTGATAAGCGCAGGCCCGACCCAAATTTGGGGATAATCTGGGATATTTTGCCGTTAATGACCTCGGTCCATTCCCGCTTATTAACGTAAACTTTTGAGTGCAGAAAACGTGGCGAGAAAAATTTTAGCAAGGTTTAAACACAATCTTGGTGGCCAATTCCCATCTCCTTCTCGACAGATAACCATCCATCAACTCTTTCCATCGTGGAATCCGCTGCGTGGCACGCAACACTTTCCAACCATTACCACATATCGTCCAGATCCATATCGTTATTGATGGCCTCACTAAGGTATTTTTTGAAAACATACCGACCAATAACACCACCAGCCAAAAATTTCCATCGTTTTTTGATATGCACTTGTTAGATTTGGTATCGTCCCGTATGTACATATATTTTTTAACCTTTTTTCAAAGATAAGTATAAGAAAAACTTGAATAACTAAACCTAAACTATTCCGATTTAGGCTTGTGAGATATCATTGGATAGGTATTTTCTAACCTTTCCTATTCCTTTGGTAAGAGACTTATTCAAAGGATGAAAGAGAAAGCTAGGATGAACCAGGGGCATTCCAAGTTGAACTAAGATGTGTTGGTATTTGAAAAAAAGGGACGTGAATGAGTTTTTTGCACAGAAATAAAAAGTATGAGAAAATACACACACAATTCTAAATCAGAATAGCTTTGGCACAGTTATTCAAGTTTTCGTAAATCAGTCTTTGAAAATAGTTAAAAAACAGCATCAAAAATCTCGTTATTACGATTCCGTTGAAAAGAGTTTTGAATATTTTTATGCAGATTTTTTAAGCTTAATCTGTTTGGTCATCTGAGGGGATTTTTTTCAAAAAGTTCTTTAAGAAATAATTTTTATTTATAAAAACTCCATTTTTGGAGATATATTCAAATCGCTATTCAGCTAACTAAATCTTAATATTTTTCTGAAATATTTTGGAGGACGTCTTCAAATATGGTAAGTTTTGTAATTCGGGTGCAAAAACGGCATCTTCTTTTTTTACCCTTACCCTTTTTTACCGTTACCTTAATAAAACCGTAACTGACTAAAAATTTTTTTATTGCTTAAAATTATGTGGGGCTTATATATAGATGAAATGCATCATAATCAATCAAAAGGGAATTTAGAAT